CACCTAATCGATAAAAATCAATTTGTGTTCAAAATATTCTAAAAAAATTTATAATATTTTCTCCATAATCAGATCAAAATTACGAAAATTTTGAGACCCATTTCGAAAAGATTGCAGAAAAGATTTTTTAACAATATTGTACTGAGATCAAGATTTTCAATCGATGGAAGGGAACTGAGGCTCCTTTCAAAATTGTTTTTTTTTTTAATTTTTTCTGTACGCATCGATTGAGTGACATTCCTATATGAGACTCTAAAAAATGCTATTCCTCGGGAAACTCTAATATACATATGTACTATGTACATCCAATTATGACCCAATGCATATATGTATATTTTATATTCTTGAAACATTTATTTAAACAGTTAATTGTGAGTTTATCATTGCTGCTATTGGTTTTATTGTGCGTACCCAACTCACATGCTGTAATCACAATTAGAATGTTTAAACAAAATATATTCAAATGATAACAACAACAACAAACAAAAAGCTAATTATTGAGCAAATTACCAGACACGTGTTTGCGTATGAATGAATTTCTAACTGTATTTCTGTTTATAAACAAATCTCCTATTAATTTCTGTTTACCTACAAATTCTAGATTACATTCATATGCATACACATATTTATAATATCCGTTTCCGGTTTTAAATTGCAAGTGGAAAATCAACATTATACACACGCAAATATGTGTAGGTGTATTGTATTTTAATATGTTTTTGTTTTGTAATTTAATATGTTTACTCCCCACAATCAACCACAATATCTACTTACAATTTATACATTATATGTATGCTCAGTTAAATTAAAATTTAAATTTCTGTAAATTTTTTACATATTTTAGTAGTAATGAAATAAATAATAAATTATTAAATTCATCAAAATTTAAATTCAATATTTTAGTTTAAAGCCCATATTCAGAAAGAAGCAGAAACAAGATCAAAAGGAGTCATTAAGTTCATATGGCAAAATACGTTGGGTGGACGACAAAAGGATTTCATGACATACCAGGGTATTATGTGATACTAGATTCACCGGGATTTTAAGTGAGTCTCTATCATGTCTATGGCAGACAAACAGACAGATAGACAGACAGACAGACGGAAGGTCGGACGGATGGAAAGACAGACAGACGGACAGTCTGCCACGGACGGTGGCTATAACAATATCGTATAAAACGAGGGATAGATGTATATCAAACATAATTATTTTTATACGAATTTTATTGATAACTATTCCACTGTGCTTTATTAAACAAAAAATATTGTTAACTATTTGTTTCTTTTGGTTTTAACAAAAAAAATTGTAAATGAAAATTTTATTACCCTCGTTATGTATGTTTCTTTTCTACAAACAAAACAATCTGCCACATAACAAGTCTTTTATTTGTATTTTTTGTGTCTGTATCAATATGTGTATGTGACATGTTGTGTTGCATGCTGTGTTATATAAATTAATAGCCTTTTTCATAAATTTTAAGTATGTTAAAAAATTGTTTGTATTGATAGTCTTTTATTTTTGTAATTTCATCCTTTGTTTGCAAAAATTATTTATATTTTCATGCATGCAAAACTGTTGCTAATTGTACAAAAATTTATAAAAGACCCATATAATAGACCATGAAATTATGAAACTATTTTGACAATTTTGAAAAATTTAGGTCAATGTTTTAATCAGAAAATCTTTGAAATGTATAAAAATATGTATGTATTTTAATTAATAAATAATTTTCTTAAAGAAAAAATCACTTTCACAAATTTAATAGCTTTGATAAATATATTTCTTAATAAAAAATACATATTCCCAAGAATAATATTATAGAACAATAAATTTCTAAGCATAAACGCAAAGGGTCATTAAAATCCTATATATCTTTTCAATTTTCTATTAATGTGAAAATAATATCACTTTAAATTAAGATGAAAACAAGAAAAGAATAACATACAATAACAATAAATTTTCTAATATTTTCTTGTTGGTTTTCTTGGGGAAAAAATAAGCAATTGGAAAAGTTATTTCCAGCTAAACAGATACAAATCGAAGTTTTAGTAGCAGGAAGGCAAGTAATAAAAACCCTTTATTTACCCATTCTTCTTCACACTTTATTTTTGTACTTCAGCAATAAGAGAGGCAATTATTTTGAAATAAATTAAAGTTAATAGTAATGAAAGAAAGCCATTGAAAAAATGAATCTTAATGAAATTTCACACAAGAACACTTAACACTTGACTAAATGCACATCAATGTGCACATTTATAATCAATAAAGTGTAATCAATACAAACTGCTATTGGAAAAAAATAAAACTAAAACAAAAAGAACATCCTCATCATCATCTTCAACAGCTGTGACAGTAATGGAAAAACCACTTGAGATTGTTGCATTTGTTGAAATTGAAATTATTTAGATTGAGTTTCATTGTTATGTGTGTGAAAAAATTTTGTTAAAGAGTTATTATTTTCATTTTGTATAATGTTCATACACATGTATAAGAAGAATAAATCATTTCCTAATATTCATATTTACACTAATATTTAAACATATCCGCTAGTAGTTCTTATATCGGAGCTATTGCCTATTCTGATTTACCGATGCATATCATTTCTGCCAAGCAATTTTCAGTATCAGTTTGCTTACTAATATAAAATCAATGACTTTTTTAAATGACTAACTGCTGGTGTCTGTGGCACACCATTTGTCACTATATGTTTCAATTGAATGTCAACACTTTTGGTGTATTTTCTACTAAACTCTTTAGAGTGACACAATATCATATAAATTTGATGCACTAAACATGCGTATCTATCTATTTCTATATAATATGTACACTAGAGTATTTCCACCCAAGTACTTACTTTACTAATACTTACTAATTCTCAAGTAGTGCATTATATTAAGTGATGTAAAAACAACAACAATATAATATAGACAGCCTTTTATTACATGTTGACAGCCGAATTAGCCCTTAAGTGGTTGCATTTAAAATTTTACGTTTCTTGTTCCTCAAACTAAGAGTATTAGGAGGCGCCTTCAGTTCCTCATAGTAATTTTTAAATCAAACACACATACTCAAATGAGTAAAACATGATATAGATTGTAACAAATGAAGAACAGTGGGTATATAATGAATAATCTTAATCTCCGATTCTTATTATTACCTTCATCATTATATATTTTAAAAAAATATATAATTATTTGTTAAAAGTCGGACAGGCGGAGAGACATACATACAGTCAAACTCGTTTATAACGAACTCAGCGGGACCAGTCAAATTTGTTCGTTATAAGCGAAGTTCGTAATAAGACAAGTGAAGTTTTTGTAATTCCAAAAATGAAGTGGCATTTTACGAAATTTTAAGAATATGATTTATAAATTTATTTAATATTCTTAAAAAAACACTATTGATTTTATTTGTTCATATTTTTCTTAACAAATTTAAGTTTTTTTTTCAACAAAGCGAAATATATCCTTATGATTTTAACACATAATTTTTAAGTTCGTTATAAAAAAGGAAAATTGTATGAAATTGTACTTGAGGGACTGAAAAAGTAGTTCGTTTTATACGAGGATTCGTAATAACCGAGTTCGTTATAAGAGATGTTTATTGTATGAAAATAGTTACCAAAATAGAGGGACTTGAAAACTTGTTCGTAATAACCGAGAATTCGTTTTAACCGAGTTCGTTATAAGCGAGTTTGACTGTATCTATATTGTCTATAAGGTCCCAAAACATACTATACATTCTTTAGGGTACAGGCGATATTTCGACACATCATTAACCATATCGCTGAAGACCTGATATCGACTTGAAAAAATTACTTATCGTAGAAAAAAATATATATAATTTTTTAATGTTAACCCCACCGTTATTTGTAATTTTATATAATTCCTTATTTTTTCAACATTTTATTATTTCCGCTTGTTGTCTCGTTTGAGGTCTTTGCATACAACTACATACGTAAATGTTGTCTTGCGTTGATTGCCTGTCGTTTGTGTTGTGCATTAACAAGAACTGCAACAACAACAAGTAGTTTATTATCCAGTTCTTGTATTTTGATTTGAAATGAGTTCTTAAAGCGTGATAACATTAGCACTACTGTTTGGCTTAGTAGCAGTTTATATACAGTGCGAATACTCTTACTCTTTATGCAGTCTTTTGTGGCCTATAGTATAATGTAGAAAAAATTTCAGTAATGGCGTAGTACTACAATGCATCCTTTAGTATAAAATGCAAGTTTCAACGATGTAGTTGTTTTCTGTTTAATTGCTTCAAATCGTCAACAGCAACTGGGATTGGCGACAATATTGTCATTAGGAGTTTCCACTACTACACCAGAAACATAGACATGTTTTCCCGGCAAAAGCAACAAATAGAGTAGCAAAGTAAAGTAATTGCAAAATTCTGTTCTGGATTTTTCTACTCTATTTACTACATTGCATTGAAGTTAGTATTTGTGGCAAAGTTTTTTTTTTGGTAGTTAACCAATTAATATTGTGGCAATTCAAGAACAATTAGTACAGAGGTTATACAGTGGTTGTGTTGTTTTAAGACTACATTGATTTGCAATTAAATTGTATTTAATTGGGGAAGTTTTGTACTTTAATATATCAGGTTTTTTTAACGTTTCTATAAACTTAAATACTTTACTTAATAGACCACACTAAAAAAATAAAATGTCAATATCTTTGGATCTTATCGTCCGTAATATACTCTCCAAACATATTTGTGCTTTTAGACTTATTCTTAGAACTTCGTATAACTTCCAAGTAATTGAATTACTTCATACTACTTTGTTAATTAAACAATATAAAAATCATATTCCAGTGTATTTTAAAATTTCACCCCAAATTAAGTCAATAAATTAAATTCAATGAACACCAAATATTAACAATTTCCTAACTGAAAATCCATAAAATTATAATTGTATTTCCTACATGTTGAAGCTTAAAAGCTTTTAATAAAATTATTTTACTATAATGTTATATTAAGGCAGTACTTACCATTACAAGCGATTATAATAAAAATTAATCCAATAATAAATAAATTACAATGACTGTATGACCTGTATGAGGAATATGTTCTTTGTAACTTTTGTTGTTGAACTGAACTGCAGGTTGAATAGTTGCTGTTGGTATTGTGGGTAATTGTTGTTGTTGTGTTGCAAGTTTTTCTTTTAACATGAGACATCATGATGTTGCTTTCACTGGGGCAGGTAAAACACTGGCAGTTGTTGTTTGTTGAGTTTGAAATACAAGCTTTCAAAAAATATAGATTTTGTCCAAACATTTTGTTAAGAGATTTTTTAAAATTTAAATTTTTATATTTTTGTTTGTTTTTCAAAATACTTTGCTTTCACTTTAAATCAAATTTTTGTTTATATGAAAACAGCAAAAAATTGTATTATTTCTCTCCTTTCTGTTATAATATCACTTATTATGGCATCATAATGTTTACACTCTTAAACAGTCGTATGTATATGTTTGCATATCGGCTACGAAAAAGTACTAAAATATAAATTGAAAAATTGCAAATTGATATTTTATGACAGCATTATGGCAGCCGGCAATAGAAACAGACGCAATATTACCATCACCATCATCGTTGAATGGGAATTTTTCATGAAGATAGTCTGTCTCGTAGATTTATATTTTTGTTTTTAATTTATAAAAGAACAGTACAAATGATTCGTTTAAGTTCACACTTTTTCTATGATCATCAATGATTTTTTCTCGTTGTTGTTTCTTAGTGACTTTGTTTTTTTTTTTTTTGTTTAATATAACGTCATTCACACACTGCTTCTGCAAGAAATAATAAAAAGAGACAATCGTGTTTATCATGCAGATATTCAGAGTTTTAAAGACATTTAAACTTTATTTACTATTTAGTAAAACTAATCTACAGCTAATTTATAGAACTTTGTTAAAATTAACTTTAAACAAGTAAGAAATTGTAATCAGGCGAGGCCGACCATATAATACCCTACACCAGTTACAAAAATAAAATGTGATTTAGTTTTCATAACAAAGCATTTAAGTTGAATTGTACCTTGCCTCAGATATACTTAAGCTTAAATTGTGGACATTTAAGTAAAATTTGGAAGGGGGCTTTGTATAGGGCTAGGGTTAAATGAGTCCCTATAATTATAAAATTCATGAGGTCATCAAGGATAGTATAGAACTTGGTTTTTCAGCTTTTTGTCGAGATACGAGTATGTTAAACATACCTAATTATTAACTTAAAAGCCTTATTCGGCGGGTTCAGTTGTATGGTGGCTAGTTGAAATAATGGACCGATGTTAACCATTTTCAATAAACTTCATCTCCGGTACAATAGAAGATCATGAGCAACATTTCATTTAACTATCTTCAAAATTGCGACCTGTAGTTTGATTACAAGGTTTACAAGCCCTATTCGGGGGTTCAGTTGTATGGGGGCTAGATGAAATAATAGACCGATCTTAACCATTTTCAATAGGCTTCGGCCCTGGGACAACAAAAGATCATGTACCAAATTTCATTGAATTATCTTCAAAATTGCGACCTGTAGTTTGATTACAAGATTTACATGGACGGACGGACTAGCGAAATCGACTGAGAAAATGATTCTTAGACGATTGGTATACTTTAAGGTGGGTATATGACCATTATTATTGTGTGTGACATACATCAGCACAAACCCAAATTTTTATACCCCTCCCCACTAAAGCTAAGCTATGTATGTGCGTTATTGTAATTTTTAAAAGAGGATCTTAAATGGGGGGTTGGGTTAATTATTGACCGATACTCATAAACAATAAGATTTTAGTTTCTACACAGAGGGACAAATAAATATAGACGCCTGGTACCAAATTAACACCAAATTTTTCAATAACATCCATTACATACATACAACAACAACAACAACAACATGTAATGTAGACCACGCAACATTGTCAACATTGCAACAATTCGTTGTCGCAATCTGAACTTTATGCATATCCGTTGTCTAAAAGTTAACAAACGTGGTAAGCTCAAAATGGGTTGCCAATGTTGTGTTTTCTAGGTAATTACAAAAATGCGTCTTTTTTTTGACAATATTTGAAATTTTATACGTTTCTCAGTTATGGACTGATTTTTCTAAATCTAATTAAATATACACATTTTCAAAAGTTTTTCAAATATATCTTGTGTAGAAAGACAGACATTTTTCATTGCTTTGAAGAAGTAATTCTTTTAATACTCTGATATTTAGCAAAACTTCTATTATTGAATGCCTCTTATTCATTCAATAGTTCAAAATCTTTACACATAGCCTCTGTCACATCGTTAATTCACAAAATAATGCATGTATAACCCAGAGATGGAAAACATAAACATTGCAATTCTCTAATGGTAAATAACCCTACCATATTTACAGCCGGGCCCCTCGAATTTACTTTGGGCCATAATATGGCATATATTACTTTATCTGTACAAAAATTATTTTGACTCTTGCCACCTTCAAAAAACTGATTTAAATTCTGAAAGTATATTAAGAATTTTGGACTTGGAATTTCGCTTATGAAAATATTATCAGAATAAGAAAATTGTCATTCGCGGAATTTCTATTCGTTTTGTTTTCGTGAAAAAAATATTTACTATATTTAGTTTGAAAGGAGGATGTACATTAGGGTGTCCCGTGGACCACTTTTTTGGATGAATACCTCTCAAACGATGTGTTTTAATGTACTAAAGCTAAAAATTTGGACAATTTTACACCTATTTCGATAAAAAAAAGAAAATAATATGTCTCTCCAACCCACTAAAAATCATTTTGTGGACCAAAAATACTCTACAAAAATATTAAGATTATTTTTCCCGTAATCAGCAGAAAATTACGGAATTTTTGAGACCCATTTTGAAAAAATCGAAGACATTTTATTTTTTGAAAATTATATTGAGGATTTTCAATCGCTGGTAAGGAACTGAGGTCCATTCGAAAAAAAATATTTTTTATTTTTCTGGTATTCAGTACATTAATACGAATCGATTGAGAGGTATTCCTACATGAAATTCTGAAAAAGACTATTCCTCGGGACATACTAATTTACATACATCAAATCTGAAAAAATACAACTAGGCCTATATCGAGCCTATTGTGCGCTCGTTTACCGATGCCTCAGATGGGAATGTAAGCCACCACCTCCGGTCTACCAAATTAGATCACTAACCACTAACCTACCGTAGGCCACTACTATATAATCAATATTATAAAAATTACAAATTATTCATTTTTACTAATTTAGTGATCGAAATTTAAATGTATCTCCCAAGAGTCATTTTAAATAATACATCTCACGAAAGAAATATAAATATTCAAAGAGAACTGAATCATTTAATTTCTCTCGCGAAAGAAATCAATTTAAATACTCTTATGATCAAAAAGTTCATTTAGCCGATTGTCAAAATTATCATGGTACTTATTCTATACTAGTTCTCTTTACTTTGAACTATCCAACTCTGTTATTCAGCATAGTAACTTGGCTGAAACTTAAAATGAAATCTATATTTTTTGCTTCTTTTGTATATTGAATGTTTGGTTGGATGCTTCTTGATTGGTTGTATGTATGCCTGAGACTATGGTTTGATTTTGATAAAGTTTGCGTTATAGGATGTTATTTTAAAGTGGCTTAAGCACAATTTTCCGTTAAATAAAATGTGTATCATAACACATTTTGTTAGAAACAACAACAACAACAGAAACTAAAACTACACAAGTGTAAAACTATTACATCTTTATCGTTTTTCCACATGCCAGTATAAGCAACCAAAGTGGCTATAGATTTCTTTCCCTAAATATTAAACAGTTTATTTAGACTTGCTTGGCTTATTTTCTAAAATAATTAATTAAATAAATCTATTCATTTTCATTTTCATTCTTACTTACATACCCCGTCTAAGTTTCTGCATGCAAATTAATTAGCTTCAATTCATTCGTTGATGTTGTTGCTGCCGCTGCTGCTATAGTTGTGGCTGTTGTTATCATAATTAATAATTTCCTGCCTACAAAATGTTTGCATTTGCTTCGTTACAATTTTAAGTTTAACAGATTTATTTTGAATTTACATTACACTTTAGCGACCATACACTTTTTCACTGTCTGATTAGACAGACTTTTGGGATTTTTGGCTAATGTTTTATCATAAATATTCTATAATAAGAAGTATTAGATTACTTTTTGTGTTTAACACTTTAATGAATTTCAAAATTTATTTTCGATTTGTTTGCACTCACTCTTTTTTAAAACATATCATTTGATGATTTTTTTTAACTTGTTTATCTTTAATTTAAGGTTTTTGTTTGAGACATGGTATATTTATTTTGATTTGGCTTGTTTTATTCTTAATAAAAAAAATTCGCTATATTTTAAGTTTGTTTTTTGTTTAAAAATTGCATTTCTTGTTTATTTTGATTTGTTTATTTCAGTTGTGTGTTATTAGTTTTTTGTTTTATGTCTGATACTACCAAAACGTTTTATATCATTCTATTTGGCTTGTCATAACATCATGGCAAATGTTTTTTGTATTTATTCATTTTTTGAATTTTTTCGTTTGTTTGGATTTTCTCTCGTTTTTAGTGTTTTAGCATTTGATGCTGCATAATTGTGCTGAACTTTTTTTTTATAGTTTTGATGTGGTTTTAAATTTGAGTTTTACACCACAGTGTTGTTTTTTCTAAATGCATATCCAGATGAAAGTATATATTTATATACGTATTTTATGCAGTTTTTTATGGTTTTTACTTTTATAGTTTTTAGGGGATATTTTATTATTTATTTCGTATAAATTTTGATTTTTCACATAAACAATGGTATTTGTCTGCAAAAAAAAATAGAGAGAAAGAAAAGAGTATTTATTTAGTATGATATTTTAGAAAGCAATCAATATAAATAGGAATTCATTTAAAATTTTTAAATTCTAAAAGAATTATTATAAATTTTAAGTGGTAGTTTCATAAATTTAAATTTAGCGATACCTGCTGTTATATTAAAAATTTGAAAATCCTTCTGAATATATTCCATCGCCACTAAAGGGTTGTAGCCATAAATAACTTAAAGTGTAGGAAATGTGTCTTAACAACTTTGCCCCTAGTTAGGACAACTAAGGCAAAGGTCAGGACTAATTTTAATTTAGGTATCTAAAATTTTACAACTATACTCTAAATTTACTGGACTGATAAACCAAACTGTTGAAACAGCTGAGTGTAATTAACTACATTTATAGTATCACTTAACTACATAATTTAGATTTCAACAGACTTTAACATTTTTAACATAAATTTACCTTTTTTAGCACATTGACTATATAACCAGCTTTCAATATTATTATTAATTATTTTTAAACACGTTTAACCATTATATTTTTTTATTATACAATTTTCCTGATTATTTATTCAAAATTTTTATTTCATCATAAATATTTCTTATTTTATTCCAATATGTATTATCTTTTATATTCATAAATATTAATATTTAATTTAATGTGTGTAACATATCAAATCACACCCAAAACATTTCCTTCGCACCTCTTTCTACGAGAAATAAAACTTTTTCATGTAATTTTCCGCACTCACTCACGCACACATACACACACACACATCGGTATTAAAAAAAGCGAACGGAAAACACGAAATATTTTAACACGCATCTGAACATGAAACGATGAAACAATTCGAAACCATAAAATTTGTTTTATATAGATACGGACTACGCGTTATACGCCTTGAGCGGATGACAGACGAATGAAGTTGATGTGAAACGTATATTTACAACAAACTCCAAAACAAAACCCACACGATGTGCTGTTGTTGTTGTTGTGGAGTATGAGACACCAAACATGGGCACTCAAGAAACACCCCCAATTTATAAGCAAAAAAAAATGTTTAGAGTAGAACAAGAAGCTGCTAAAAAACCGCATATAAATATCAAACAAATAAAAACAGGAAAAGAAAAGAACAAATAATTTGTGTTTACAAGACAAAAAACAATGTTTATATTCTTAATGGAAGGCGAGTGTGTGTGACCACTTAAACATTGTTTACTCAACATGTTGATATTAAGCAACATCATAATGTTGTATTGGAAGTTTCAACATGTTGTTAAACATTATTTGTCCGCTCTGTAAGGTTAAGGGTTGTTGTGATTTCATCACTTGTTTATTATTTTTTGAATAGAAATATTCTTTATTTAGATGCAACAATATTGTGAAGTACCTCAACAAACTGCTTTTTATACCCACCATCAAAAAAGATGAGGGGTATATTGTTTTGTCATTCCATTTGTAACACATCGAAGTATTGGTCATAGACCCACAAAAGTATATATATTCTGGTTCCTTATTAAATTAAAATTATTAAACTAAGACGCTCTAGCCATGTCCGTCCGTCTGTCTGTTGAAAACACGATAGAGTCCGAACGGAAACAGCTAGAGGGTTAAAATTTTACACATAGATGGCTTAAAAACAGCAGTATGTCAATAAAATTCCACATAAACAAGTTTTGTATGAACCAAAATCTCCCTAACAAATTTTATGAGAATCAGTCTATAATCCCTCTCAGAAAACGACTATAACGATCATATACAAGCTCACATAAAAAAGTTTTAGGGGAACTAAAATCTCTTTGCCAAATTTTATATAGATCGGTCCATATAAGGTTACTCTCAGAAAATTACTTAAAAGCTCATAACTTGCATCAAAATTTCCGTAAATCAACTAAAGTCAACATAAACAAATTTTATCGGAACATAAATCGGTTGAGGATCGGTTCAGGTTGAGGATCGGTTCATAAATTGACTACAACGTTCATAATTTGAAACAAAATGATAGTAAAGCAACGCAATTCGACGTAAACAAGTTTTCGGGAAACAAATATCTCTCTGCCAAATTGCTCATAATTGACCCTACCCCCCAGTCCACAATTTGCTCCAAAATGACAGTATATCAACGAAATTGACATAAACATGTTTTATAGAAACTAAAATCTTTCTGCCAAATATTAAGAAGATCGGTCCATAATTGATTCTATATATAACTTGCTACAACATTAAAGAGTAGCAACGAAATTCGACATAAATAACTTCTTCAAAATGGTAGTAAAGCAATGAAATTCGACATAAATAAGTTTTATAGGAACTTAATTCTAACTGTAAATTTTTTTGACGATTGGTCCGTAATTGACCTTATCCCCTATCGTAGAATGACATTAACGGCCATAACTGGTTTAAAAATACCAGTACAGCGATAAAATTCGTCATGAACTAGTTTTAAGGGATCTAAAATCTTTTTGTCAAATTTTATGATCATCAGGCCATATTGGATTAAAGCCTTCATATAAGGCTTAGAAAGCATCGATATTCGATATAACGAGTTTTATTGAAACTAAAATCTTTGTAAAATCTTAGGAGGAAATCAGGAAATCGAATCATTAAAAAATATTAAATATGATTACTATTTATATATGATAAATCAGTTTAGAAAAAATCCAATAAATGATTAAATTGTAGTAGCAAAAGCATCGGTTTTTATAGTATAGGTCCACTTCCGAAATTCACCTGAAATTAAAGATACATGATTTGATGGTGGGTATATAAGATTCAGCACAGCCTAATATAGCACTCTTACTTGTTTAATTTTGTTGTTTTTTGTTATAAGACGGGAGCAGGCAGTAAAGTGATTATAAAATTATTGAAAACCTATCAAAAAATATTTCCAAGTAAGAATCTATTCACAACTATATACATAGAATTGGTCCAGACTTTGGTGTATGTTGTCTTCCTTAAAAAAAGTATACTATGTATAGCCGGCCTTTGGCCGGTTTAAAGAGTTTTGAAATCTATTTCGAACAAAGGCATCGCGAATTATAAACATATTATGGTGTGTCATAAGGTCTATGAACATTATGACACTGGACATGATGACACGCCACCCTAGATTTTAGTGAGGATCGATCCTTACAAATTTTCTTTAAAAATCAGGTTTAAATTTAGTATCTCAATTATTAAAAACGGCAAATGAATGGACAAGTCATATCATGCTCAAAGAATTCTAAATACCTTTTAGTATTACCCTTGTATGTTCTTGCTTTCTTGTAATTCTTAAAGTTTATTTACTTTGTGATTTTTTTTTCATTCTTTCATTTATTTTGATAAGCATCTTCCTGTAGGAAGCTTTAACCAAATGTTTCAAAAAACACAAAGACGTTGATGACGAAGAGCGAGTGAACAAAAAATATATTAACACAAAAAAATAGAGTTTCAATGACACTTAAACAAAAGCAAGTGTCAACAGTGTTTTATTTAAGGAAAAAAAAATACACAAACAACAAATATTTTTTCACATTTGTTTGCATGCTGCTAGAAAAACATTAAAAAATCTACCGAATACATCATCAGCAGCAACAAAAACATCTACTTATAAGGCATACAAAAAAAATTATGAAAAACATTAATGTTAAATAAACAACAATCAGTTTCTTTCATTCACGAACAAAATAAGCCAGATTTGTAGATTTTTTTTGAGGTCCGTGTCATTATATTTTTTTTTTTTTATTATTAAAAAATATGAAAAATTTACCCAAACATTTAAAAATTGTTTCTGTTGTTATTAGATGTTGTTAATTTTGTCATCATTAAAGCATGAACACAAGACACATTTTCAAGTAAAAAAACAAAAATAATTTCTAATATGCAACATTTACTTTTTTGACCGCTATTATATAAATGTTAATTTGTATGTGTGTTGAAATATACAGACAAAGTGTAATCCTTGTACTTATTAATTTATTTAAATGAAACACAAAGTTTTAATTACTTAAAAACGATGTTCACACTAATGAAGGTTTAGCCTTTTTTTTTAGGGAAATATAAAAAAATCTTGTCCTATATACATATCGCAATCTGAAATGCATCGATTGAGAGGTATTCCTACATAAGATTCTTAAAAGGCCGTTCTTCAGGACACTCTAATGTATATATGGTAATTTATAAATTTCCAACAATGATGAAATTCGGTTCAGACATTCTTTGGATTAATATAAATTCATTGTCGTCTCGATTTTATCAAGGTTCGATATTAAACTTCAACTATTTGGGATAAAATCTTTTAAAATATAATCTCAACAAAATTTAAACAGTAACGAATTTGAAATTAGTAAGGTACGGAATCTGTTCGATCAATATTTTGAAGATTCCAAAACGAAGTAACAAAATCAATGCATGGATATCAATTATGGATTAATATCCTTAAAATGTATTATCCTATACTAGAAAATTTCATTTCCAGTGTGAACACACAAATACGTTTATTGTACAGTACAAAAATTCATTCATGCACATGTATGTAAGAACTTTTTTTTGTAATCTTTTAAGAAAATTCTCGTTAAGAAAAGATTTATTTTGTTTATTTACATTTCTCAATTACCTACATGAAGAGATGCTGCCTACTTAGGAACACAAATGAATGATCATCGTCATGAACAGCAGCAGCATTATTTTACAGGGTTTTGGCCACAAATGAATAAAGAAAAATTGTACGCATTGATTGGCATGCGTTCAAGTGAAAATATGTTCAGGCTTTATGTTTTTTTTTTTTCGTTCATATATCATAAGTATGTTGGTTTTGCAAACACATGTGCAAGTGATTTTTTTTTTCAGTTTTTATTCATTTATTAAACTTCCCTTGTTGCCCATTAAAGAAGATGCAAGATGAAGATGAAAAAAAAAAAAATTAAAATTAATATCTCATTTTTTAAAACACATCAAAATTACCAAACCATACATGCATGCAACATACAATAATTTAAGAACATTCATACATTCAG